GCTGATGCCTATATTGAAACATTATCAAAATCACCCTTGGACAGCCTAGGAAGCCTAGACATATGCCCAACAAGCTCACCTGCTTGTTGAAAAGGCCTTCTTTCACTGAAAAGATGAGATTTCATCTAAGAAAAAAAGGCTCAATGGCTTTTATCCATGTTCTTCTCCCTATAAACTATTGTACTGCCATTTTAACATGGTTAACAAAACTGAACATGATGGCAACATACTACTTCTGTTTTAGCACATAATTTGAGGAAAAAATTAAAACCATTGTGATATCTGCATATGAACTTGGCAGTTAAAGTACTGGTAATAAGTAAAACCTCTTGACCCAGAGCTCTTGTTAGTTGCAAACACACAAAAAACCGTGTCTCTATTCACAAAAGGACTATTCCAACCCTCAAGTCATACAGCAACAACACCACCCAATCTTTTACAGTGGCCACACCACACAGGTTTCTCCTCACAGATCATATACTAAAGCATGTTGTGAGAGACTGGGAAGATCTGGTGTCATGAGGCATTTTGGGATGCATGTGTGTGGGGGAAGGGGCAGGTGAGGTGATGCCCTGCTCTGCACATACACTCCTGGGACCTGTATCCCAGCCCCACACGGGCTGCCAATCCTTGGCACAAAGGAGGCAATACACCACACCTGGCCTCTGGAGCACCTAATCCAACTTCAAACAGAAGTCCCACCTGGGGGAAAAGGCCCCAGAAGGCCAAGGGGTATTTAAAGCTGAACACAAGGCAAGCATGTCTTGACCCTACCTCCTCTTGGAATTTCTATGAGCTAAGCACTGCTGGAACCCAGCAGCTGGTAGCTTTCTGTGTCCTTTTCTAGATCTTTTTTTGTCTTCTTCTCTTTCTTCTAATTCCTTCTTCTTAGAATTTTTCAGTAACTTAAAGTCAAACGGGCTTAAAGTTTGCCAAATCAAATGGGCTAAGTTAATGCTTTGACATGTATTTTTATGTTGATTGAATGTTGCACTAAACCTTTTGCTAAAGTTCCTTGATTTTCTGAGGTTGCCAGTAATGTCTTTTTTGTTTTTCTGACCTCTTGAGAGTATCTTGTTGCTCTTTCTCCTGTGTCTCTAACCCACAGTACACGAATCCTTTTAAAAGCCTCATCAAGTGAGGGGCCTTACACATGTCCAGCCATGTCACCTCCATGACTAAACACAGGTCCCCAGTGATACACAGTCACTTTCAAAGCCAAGCAAATAGTTCTTGGTCAGTTTCATATATGCCCATTCTAACACAGAAAAAGGCACAGGGACGTGTTTCAAACAGCAGCCTCTGCAGCCACAGAACAGAAAGACTGTAGCAAACAGGAATATTCCAGGAGCCATTTCTGACCTTTCAGAACAGGTCTGGCCAGATTTGATACCACTTATTGGCTAACTTTTCTGAACCTGTGCACAAGTGCCAGACACTCAAGTACTGAAATTACACAAATTCACCTAAGAATTAAGAGTCTATAAGTGCTATGATATTTCTTTTGTGTTGCATAATAAATACATTTTAGAGCAGGCGGGCTCAGGGGCAGCTGAACAAAGATCAACATGCATTGCCTAAATATAAGCACGGGATGCATCTCCTCTGCATGTGGCAGATACTCTGTGAAAAGAGGCTGTATCCAGATGGGGGTCAGCCCCTTCTCCCAGGCAACCACAGACAGGAAAAGAGGGTACAGTCTTGAACTGCACCAGGAGATGTTTAGGTTGGACATTATGAGAAATTTCTTCACAGAAAGGGTGATTAGACATTGGAATGGGCTGCCCAGGGAGCTGGTGGAGTCACCATTCCTAGAAGTCCTTAAGGAAAGGCTGAACATGGTGCTTGGTACCATGGTCTAGTTGACATGATGGTGTTCTGTTGTAGGTTAGACTCAATGATTCCAGAGGTCTTTTCCAACCCAGCTGATTCTGTGGATACGAGGTCTGTAGAATATATGTTGGTCCCAGCTCTAATGCTTGGAATTTTCATGATGTCCAAACAAAAACTGGTTATTTCTGGGTAATTTTCGGTTAGAGCACATCTTGCAGATACATAATATCATGAACAATTAAAAGCCATCTTGAGTTTCCCAATTTCTTGCTGTGCTAGCCAAAAGCTTTGTAAAAGCAGGCCTACAGAGGAGAACTTTACTATGGGACTTAAATTCAAAGATGGTTTTTTCACTGTAGAGTTTATACCACTAAAGTTACAAAAAAACACACCAAACAAAAACAAAACAAAAAAACAACAAAAAAAAAAACCCCACAACAACACACCGAAGTCCTATTAGAAGTAAAAACGTTTAAGAATTGGAAGTCTGTTCTACTTCCCTTGCACCCATAGCTGTTACGCAGCTAGTAAAGGCAATGAAGCCTTGTGATGAAGCGTTCGGGAGACACCTGAAAATTTGCTGCGTCCTTTCACACGGGCAAGCAAGAGGCGAGCTGGACCACCAGGCGGGATCAGCCTTCGAAGCCCATCTGGACCTGACGGTGCCACGTATTCCCACTCGGCCAGCGACTACTCTGACCCAGGCAGCGACTGGCCCCGGAAGGGACAGCGGGGGGGAGACGGGGGTGTCACCGCAGGGCCGGGCCCCCTCGGCACAGGCGCGGCAGGCCCCGCTTCTCGGGCACCCCCGCTGCGGGACCGGCTCATACTTACGAATTTGGGCTTCCTGCTATCCGCCGCCTCCTCGGGGCCATCGGCATTCCCGGTCCCCGGCGGGCCCTTCCAACGGAGCCCCTTGTTCTCCCGCCCGCCGCGACCCGGCG